GATTCATCTCGGTCTTAATCGTCGAATTACAATTTTAATATCGTTAATCGAGGATCGCGGGTAACGTCTACGGTATTGGACCACTCGTGAACGTTGCTCGAACGATTCTCCAAAAGGGTACACCGGGCTGTTGATCGTGATTGCATAGCAGTTGCGTGCTCGCGTGATGCAAATGTTAAAGCAGTTTCGCCGATTACGGGCCTATCGAAACGCGAAAAAGCCTCGTATCTCGCTAGTCAGCGATTCAGAATCGTTCTATTCTTGGCGAAACTTTAAACGACGTATCAGCATTGCTCGTGACACGAACCATGCAATTTTTCCCCTCTGATTCGGTGTACTTTGTGGAACGCATACGGTATTAACATAACGATGATTTATTTTCCAATGTCCAGACAATTGTCGGTCTCTTTTCTTCAATTGAAAATAAACGCGGTGCAAAGGAAATTGGGGATATTTGTAATTTGTAATATAATCATAGTTGAAGAGTGACTCGTTCACCGGAACATTGGTTCTAAGCCTCGAACCGGAAGAAACAGCCGGTAGAGAGATTCGATAAAGCACATAATAAAACACAGCGAGGGTAGAACGGGAACGTCGATGGGGATTGGTCACGACAACGTGCAATAATGTCGTTCCTTCGGCAATTTCTCGAGAGGAGCCGAGCAGAAAGGCCACGGCACTGTGGAACAAAGTGCCGGAGATGGCACGGCTACATTTTCTTCTTCGAACGCGTAATCGATCGAGGAAAAATGCCGAGCCTCCGTTTCCTTACGCGATCTATTCCTTCGAAATTTCCTCGTTTCATTAACACGATTTCTGGGTCATCGCTCTTTGGATATTCTATTCGCACTGATCCATATTTCTCGCCAGCCTGGCAGAAGGTATCGATTGTTTACTTGACAGTGACACGACCACTTTTTTCCCCTCCCTTGATAATACTGCCAAAAATCGTGATATACTGCCGGTTATCCGGCACGATAAATCCCGAGGTATCGTATTAGAATTTCTCTTCCATATTCCTATTTCGTACTGTCCGTTTCGCGGGAAATTTATGTCGACCATTCTGTATATCTTCGAAACCTTTGCATTAATCGATTCGAACATTTCTAAAAAATTATTCCCCTTTGAAAAGTTGAATTTACGAAGAAAAAGACAACGGAGGTTGGACGAAAAAGAAACTGTTTTCTTGCGACTGTATTGGTCGGGTGAAAAGTTTTCCTCGACTTTCAACCAAGTTTCACGAGATTTGACGTTTTACTTCTGCCATTGTTATCCGTTTAACGTCGCACCACCTAAAATATTTACGACTAAACTTCCCCGATGATCTTCTTTATCCCTTTTAACTTAATTTTAGACTCTATTTCATTCCTCTTTATCAAATTTAGAACGTCCAATCCATTTTTGCAAAGCTCGTCAATCGGTATTGATCGAACAGCTAAAAGTGTTTTTACCAATTCCTTTCTGAATAAACAGGCGCGCTTATAAAAAGGCTACGGCGATTGATTGAAAGGTTATTTAAACTTGTATCGATCCACGTCATTGGAAGTATGACGAAACAATGATATTGCTCGCGCTATTTGTACAAATGGAAACAAACCTTGGCTGGGTTTCAATGGAAACGTTAAAACACCAATGGGGAATTTACGTGACTGTCCATGTATTGCTGCTGAGTAGCAGCAGCTAACCATGGATATGCTAATGCAGCGCATTGCTCTGAATGGATTGTTTGTATAATAGCGGTGCAACTTATGAACATCAGCAACTACCTTGAATACAGAAATCGAAACAGTTACGAAACTCCGCTTGCATCATTGTTACAGAACGAATTAAATGGTTTTCTCTGATAATTACGGGGATTCCTACGAAGCTTGGGCTATTGTTTGAAATTTATTTACGGCGGACTTATCGTTTGGCATGGGGAACAAATTTTTAATTAGGAAAATCTATCGGAGAGGTGCATTATATCGGATGCCGTCATCGTTTCGTTGCCATTGGGGTCGCCATTGTTTCATCGAGTCACCGTGACGAACGGATGTTGGGTCGTCGCCAGTGTCTGGAGGATTTTTAATTAATTGCTCGAGTTAATTGAGACAGACAGAAAGAGCGAGCCAAAATGAAACGACCTTTTTCAGTTAGCACGAATGAACCTCGCGTTTCGTACAAAAAGAATTGCATTCGCGTCGAAAATATGTGACCATCGCTCTTGTTCGTTGATTCAATGTACGCCCGGGTAATTTCAAATTGATATTACATGCTATAGTTTAATAATTATAATGTATCGAACTAATATTATAATAAATTCACTATGGTCCGGTTCAACGAGTTAATTACGTTAATTTACAACGTTTCATTGTTCATTTGGATAATAAAATGGTTAATTGAAAGTTTCTTATATCGAGAATAAAGAAAATGATACAAAGAGAGTTTATGCAATTAGCGAAACGAGTTGTAAAATTAGCAGAAAAATCGGGCGAGCGTAAACGAAACGAGATGCATCGAGGACATTCGCCAGAAAAACCACCATCGACAGAGACAATGAATCCACTGTTCGAAAAGTTTTTCAACGCGACCGATTTACCAGGAAACAAACAGGAGCGAATGAAAAAAAAAAAAAAAAAAATACACGAGCGAGACAGGGAAATTTTAACAAAGAGGAAAAAGATGAAAGAGGACAAACAGATGTCGCGCGTTCGCGGTATCGTGCCATTGTCAATCCTGATGTATTGTCCTGTCAGGACGTAGTCAGCGACACTGACATGACCCAGATGAAATCGAGGGCTCTTTACAGAATAATCGTGAAAAACACGTCCGGCTGTGTATTGTACGTATTAAACGAATAACTCTCGAATCGGCCGCGACGTCGTGCTCGTTTGTCGAGGGCTTGTAAAATTACCCGGGTATAAACGCGTTTTCGAAGATAGCTCAACAATTTGAAAACGACCGATTCAATAGCCAATTGTTCCTGAACGATCGAAACTTCGCAGGACCAGTGTTCCTCGTTGGCTGAATTATAAAATAATCTCCACCGAGCGAAGTTTGAAGTGTTAAACTCTTTCCGACGTAACGTTCGATATTCCATGGCAATTGAAACGTCAATTAACAGCGATAATTATTCACATTTTTATGGTTGAAATCAGGTTTCACGAGAATCGTGGGTATACGTGACAATTTTTCACGAATCGATCGAAGTGTCAAAGCGTTCAATTCGAAGAGGCTAACGAAGGGTCAGAAGAGAGCTTTTTGGCTGGATGCCATACGGAAATTGGAATCAACTTTCCTGAAAATTTACCGCAAACTAGAGATTACGAAAATTGAAACCGCATTGCATCGGGAGGAAGTAGAGCATCGTTCCGTTCCTGAAATATCACTCCCTCGTTAAATGGAACCGAAACCCCATCTGGATATCTCGTTACCGAGCTTCGGTTCCCATTGATTTCTAACTCTCCAGCAACGAAAATTTTAATTCCATCGGGGAATTTCCAAGTTTCCCTATAAATAACGTAGATCGAATTTTATCAAAGTTATACGAGAAGGAATGAAAAAAGTACCAACCACTCTAATATTCCCTCGAGAATCGCTCGCTTTCAATTAACGAGGTTCATTAGACGGAGATGACGAAAATCTTTCAAGAAGAATTTCCTTCGACCGGAAAATCCAAGATACCTATAATAACACCGGCGATCCTCTTGAGAATGAAGATGTATTCCTAAGCTGAAGCTTTCCTCGAGTAATCGCATCGGTAGCATTGTGATTTAAAGAAAATCCGATTATGAGACTTGACTAATGATCATCAGGAACAGATTTCGTTACGTGTCTTTTAGAAAATTCCTCAAGATCGGCTCCCGTGGAGGAATATCTCGTAGCGGATAATTAAAAATAACTGGACATTCTTTTTCGATCGAACGTAATTAATAGCTTTAACGTCGAGCCAGATTTAATTACACTCCACATTCCTTTATGCTGGAAATAAACCGTGTTCGCCGCAAATTATTTCATTTACGTTTGAATATCGAGTTAAATAATTTCACGTAATCAAAGGTGGAAGAAGGCGAGTGTAACGAAAGGGTCGAGCAGGTGCTTTGTGTCCCTCGTGTTAGGGCGGAGCATCGCTTCGACAGCAATTTGCCCGAGCATTTTCCCAAAAATAAACGCATTAAATCGCGAAGCGGTTTTGAAAATAACGACACGCGTCACGGCCAAACGGTCAAATGAAGGCTATTTTTCGCGCTCGTAACCAGTAAAACGTGCCTCCATTATCGCTCATTGTTCCCCGATCGAGAGTGCGGGCCAGGTGACCGGTTGTGCAGGTAGTTTGGAAAGTTTGCTGAATCCCGGCGTGAAAATAATCACGCGTCGAGAAGAGATTATTCGTTAGTGTCATTATCGGGGGAGGACGATTACGAGACCGCGGACAACCAGGGGAACAATGGTTCTCGTTGATCAAACGGTTACGTATCATCGAGCCGATAGTCGGACTAATTAGCCTGATTGCACCCGACAAAATAGCGGCGACTAGCTATGTTCCGAACGATGGAAGCTTCGTTATATAATTGCACTATTTCCTATTGACGCTACGAGTTAGCAGAGACATCGGGGCAACGTCGGGCTATCGTTAAATAGTCACGATTTGCTTTGTCCACGAATTATTAGATCGGTTGGAAAGCTCGAGCAAATTATTGCTTCCCACCCGTTTTCCATTTGATTTTTCCAAGCTGACAGATATCAAAGGCGGGTAACGAGCGATTATTAGCCTGCCACACAATCGCAATTGATGCGGTCTGATTGGACACGTGGACGGGTTGATTGATTGTTGAGAAGATTATTTATCCTCGATAGAGTGTGTTTTATTCCGATTCGCTGGTTGATTCTACCGTGTACTTAAAATCAATTGAATTAAACCCGTCGCTTTGAACGAAGAACGACGCATCTTCCAGTTCATTATTAACGTCATTATTCCAGAAGTTAATTTTCCATTGAAGGTATTTACTAAAGGGTCTTACCTTGTCCCTGATTTCTTGTCGCATCTTCTCTCGCTCCTCTTCCATTTTACGGTGCTTCTCCTTCCTTCGTTCCTCGGCCTCCCTGATCGCTTCTTGCCTTTCCCTCTCGGCTTCCTCTTCCTTCTCCTTGTCATCTTCGTCTCCGCCTTCGCCACCTACGGCTCCTGGAAAATAAAAGAAAATTTATCGTTAAAATTTTCAAAGTCATAGAAAAACTTGATGCACACGGTGCCGGTACTATAACGAAATTTTGAATGGTTCCTCGTGTTTCGTTCTAATTGCAAGTTAGTCCGCTCCTGTTTCATTCCGGTCGTACTCGTCATGCAGAAACTTCCGGCAGGTATAATAGAACACGATAAACTAACGGTTTACCCTTGGAAGCAAACATTGTAAATCAGCCTGATAGCCAGGATGCTATTCCCTTGTAGTTTGTACGGTATTGCAGAGGTACCGTCAAGTTTCTAGGGAAAATTATTTAGTCATAGAGAAGTCTGGATCGATTCTCGTGACAGATAGGAAAGTTTCTTCGCAACTAACGCGCATCTAGCTCCCTGTAGATACACAAAGTGTACCGAGGATCAGCTGCTATTATACAAGCTACTCTGTAACATCATCCAAAGTTGTTCTTTCCTCGATTGATCCTAATAATAAAAGCTATCAAACGTTCTATGTACAGGATATCGTTGAAATTCGCTTCTATAGGGAGAGAAAAAGGCGTTCTCCGTCCTGGGATCGTCCGCCAGACGATCCCTGTCCCAGACGCCTATAGGCTCTGGGTTCCAAATTTGTGACCCGTTCGGGGGTGCACTCTATACAATCTTTCAGATACGAAAAGTCCTTTACTCGAAATTCGTTGGGCGCCGGGGGACCGCCAGCGAGAACGGACTCAATCGCGCCGCCATCTGGCGGTCGCCGACCCGAACTAAGGGCATCCAGGGAGACTTACCGCCTTCCACTAAACGCCTACACTTCTCATTGAAAAATTAATTCCTTATCAATTTGAACAACTGGAAGGAATATTCGTTCGATCTATCGAGTAGATAGTAATACGTTAAGAGTCTGACGTATCGATCCGAGTAAAAGATATTAGAGCAAGAAACGAAGAGGATATCTTGTCGAGTGTCTCCTTGAATTTCGGACTTGATTCCAAATTAATTCGATTCCAGTCCCTCTTGGAACAGCAATTCCACCTCCATAGACGTTTATGATTGAATTCACCTTCGATAACCGAAGTAGAGGGGTGAAAAGTAAAAAACCTCGAAGGGAATCGGTCGCTTTTCATTCATCTAAGCCATGGATGGAAATTCCAGCAGCTTTGGTCCGGTCTTAACGAAGTTTTATTAGTTTACCGAAAGATTAAGCGGACTCGCGAACGGTTCCTCGCCGTATTACTCGCCCAGCCAGGAGAATCCTGGTCGGTCCTTTCCTTCCGTAAAGAAAAATCGTGTTTACAACGGAAACACATCCGCCCTATGTTCGCTTTCTCCCCCGTAACGCGATACCCTCTGCCGGGATGTAAAAATAAGAAGGTTTGTTTGCGAATCCGTTAGCCGGATACTTTGAACTTGCCCGGCTTCGACCCGGAGCCGGATGCTGGAGAATTAATGGTAAACAGTAGGGGAAGGGAAGGAGTAGGGAAGGGAGAATTTGTCTTTTGTAATGCTCTTTTCTCCCGTGCAAATATTCGCGACGAGTGTTTGCGATCGTGCAGAAAGAAAGGAAGAAGGAGAGCCGAGACGAAGACGAACGATCGTCTCGCGTTAGTAATCCGTGTGCACGCGAATTCTTAACACTTTGCCCTGAAACGACGTCTCTGGCACGTCATGCGTTTGTCGCGAGCAAAGTATACAATGACGTGTCAGAAACGTCGCGCGATTTGAAGAGATACTTAACGAGATTTAGCTTGTGCAAGGCTTGCTCCGTTTATAGAGATTACAACGTGCAAATGGTAATTGCGTCGCGATAATAATTAACAATTTGGTTAGATTGCAGTTTCCCGGGTAATTGATCTCGACTATTTTATCGGAAGGTCGATGTCACGTGATTTTAAAAAATCACAATTTGGAGAACTAAGGAGAACTAAGCTAAGCTAATTCAAAGGCTAGCTATTCTAGCTGATAAGTTGGGTTAGGTTAGGGTTAGGTTATTTTTTGGATTCGAAATTATCGGAAAATTTTGGAAAAATTGTGATTTTTTAAAATGGCCATAACTTCGTAACGCCACGTGATATCGACCTCGGGACACTTCCTATCGTTTTCTCCGACCTTGATTTATCCGATAAAATAGTCGAGATCAATTACCCGGGAAACTGCAATCCAACCAACAATTTTAATATCTTTAATAATCCGAATTGCTGTAGCGTGCAATGGTAGACATTTCTATTACGTTTCAGCGCGTTCACCGCCACAGTAGAAATATCAATGTTTAGTCAGCCATAGGATACCGCAATAAACCCACTCGTAGAGGCGCTTCAAATTTCGAACACAACGCAATTTGACGTATTAATGAAAACGTTTCGAATTACCGAATCGTGAATCCTCCACTGGCGAGGTTAAGTAAAACTGGTACGGTTTGAAGTAAGAATTGCAGTGTGTATAATGTTAGCAATATCGGGAACGTAGACGGGGACCTGGTTGAAGGGAGGCGAAAGGGATTCGTCTTTCCTGGTGTCTGGCGGAGAATGATGTGCCAGGACCTCCGGGCTCGAGGAAATTAATACTACTTCTGTCCCGGCGCCGTCTACCATTTTCCCTTTCTTTCCTCCTCCTATCTCGTCCCATCTATTTGCACTGTTTCCCGCCACCATTGCTTTCCGCCTGCTGGAAAGGTAGTTTGAAGTCCGAGCCAACGAGTACCTTCATTCTCTCAGCCTTTTCTATCCTTTTCACCTTCTCTGTTTATTCTTCGACCCCAATTTCTCCAAATCATCCACTCTTTTCTTCCTCCCACGAATGAGAGCAAAATTTTATCGTACCTATGCGTCACAATTGTCTTTCTTCCACTTTCCAGTGTTATATCTCTCAGTTAACTGTGAGTAAAATTCAAAGTGATATTCTCGGTGACAATCAAAGTCCTGGTTAAAGATATCGTTAACAAAGGGAAGTCAGTTACTTAATTGACCTACAGCACTTAATAATTCGTGTACCTCGAACGTCGTTTTTCATCTCCTCCTCTCGTTCTTTCTCTTTTCCACGTAAGTTCAGCCACGTGCTTTATTCAATTAATTAATTACGCCGGCTGCTTCTCAACGCCGCGCCACTTAATCGTTCTCTTCCGCTTAGCGAGCTTGCGTTTAAGTTTCGTTATCTCCTCGTTTATGCACCGTACGCGGTGCATTTACATTATTACACCGTTCTTATCTTATCTTTTTTGTTTGATTCGTCCTCTCCGGCCAGGCTGGACGAAGAAAAAAACTTCCCACCGAGGGGAAAATCCACTTATCTCTTTCCTCATTCGGTCTTGCGTTCATTCATCGTAGCCGGTTTTAATTAAATTCACTTATTTCGTCCTGGCAGCGATCTCTGTGTCTTCATTAAGAGATCTTCCTGGCCCAGTTTGATCGTTTAGAAATGATATAACGTAAGGGAAATTGATGAGCTTCCCTTCTTATTATTGCAATCGAGCTGTCCGGCCTTTCAGATGGAATCAGTTAGATGACAAGAACAAAGTGTAAGGTTGGTTAAATAAAAATACTAGTTGTCAGGATAACTTTAATCAATAAGTTCCTCAACTCTTCGCTTCTTATTTGCTACTTATTTGCTACTCTGTACTTTCGTCACTGGCGCGCTTTTTCCGTCCCTTAAAACCAAGACCCGCGCCCCATTCTTTTTGGAAAAACCTTGGTATTTGGCTTTCCGAGGCCTGGTCGTCATCGCCCTAGCGAGGACGATCAGGTCCTTGGAAATCATAAGGGACTCTGGGCAACGTCGCTGTACCTGTCGGCGATTGTCTCACTCGCACGCTCTTATAAAAGTTTGAAAAGGGTAAAAATGGTATAGGACCACAAGTAACGAGGTTCGAGTTGCTACTCGTCTGTATCAAAAGAACGTTCGAGCGGAAAGGATTAAATTAGCCAAAGGCGGTGAACGTGTCGAAGAATAGGGATAAAAGTTTTAGCTGTCGTCATTTTATCGGCTCGATTTACGTGAAGTTCCGCCGGCTCATTTGACGCGTCGTGACATCATTTGGTGGGTGGCGATCGTACAACAAGAACGAGTATAATAGCGAACGAGGACAATTGTCCCGGTGCAAATGGTGCGACGAAAGAGGAGTACAGTCATTTGCACCGACATTTTCGCGGAGCCGCTCAGTGTCGTTTCACGTTTCGCGCCATAACCTCGTGATCCTCCACTAGATGCGGACCAACGGTTATCTACATTTTTATCGAAATTATCGATCGTGAAACTTTGCACCTCGTGAAAATATTACCCTGGCTATTAGTTAAATGGATTGCACGTTTTTCAAGCAGAAGCTCACTTTTTCTAGTTGAGAAAATCGAGAGCCTTTTTCAGCTATACTGCAAAATAAGCAATCGACAAATAGTAATTAACCCGATAGATAAAGGTTGCCTAATTTCGAGTACAGTTTTCAGTGGAACAGAAAAATCTAGCGAAGCGTTATTTATAAAGTTTAGAATTTGCTCGCGTACTCGTTGAAAAAGATTCATTAATTTTCGCGACGCGAATCAACCAGGCGGACCGAATGACAGAAATAAAAAGTGTCCCAACGAAATAGTACTTTTTTCATTGCCCGTCAACGACTTCGCTCGGGCTTTCAATACTCGCCACGATGATTTAAAAGCGGCGCACGATGGAGTCATCCACGGTTTCTGGTCGATATTTCAACCAGAGACGTGGCCCGACTCGGTCTCCTACACTCCCGTACATCCGTCCTTATTTTTTTTTTTCTTTTTCACCCTGTCTTCGCATGTAGGCCAAGAGTCTGCTACGTTGCGGCAGCTAGCTTTTTGTTCCCGCGAATCCGCGCCGCGGATCATTACGCGGAACGACGCAGTCGCTAAATCCGGCCGTCGAGAAACGTTCTTTTTCTCCTTAATCATCATGCGATCCCTTAAAGTCGTCGTTACGCGCTGCTCGCTCGCGACAATTAAAATATTTTCGTTGCTACGCGCTTCTCCAATTAACCCGCGTTTCGAAACTTTCAA